CTTTCTTCCTTCTTCGAGATGACTTCATAGGGACGGAAGTGCGTAGCTCCTTCTTTAGTCACGACGCACAGGTCGACAATTCCTCCCGAGCCCAAGTCATTCAAGATACCGGCAGCTATGGCATCTTTCACTAGTTTCTTTCCTTCTTCTAATTCCATGTTCGGCTTCCATCTGCTCTCGAATACGGTCATGGCGGCAAGAGAACCCGATCCTACGGTAGCGTAAGGCAGGCTCTGAGAAGATCCGTAAGAATATATGCAGTAGATGCTACCTCCGGTCGAATCCACTCCTCCAAGTACCAAAGCCACGCCGAGGTTTCCTTGGTATCTAAACAACATTCGTGTCAACAACGTATTTGCACACACGACTGGTACAGTTCTATTCATTTCCAAGCGTAGTAATTCGAGCTGAGAGGAAATCAATTTTGTTGTCATTACTAAATCTGCAGCCGTTCCGGCTCCACCGCAATATATATTTGGATTCAAACAATAGATTTTACGGCAATTTTTATCGGCAACGATAGGTCCTTCGGTAGCTCTTGTATCTGCTCCCAAAATGACTCCATCCTTAAAAACTATACCTGCGATAGTCGTTCCCGTCTTTTTAAATTTAGGAACCGGGTATCCAGCTTCTTTAAGCATTTCATTTCGTCTGCAATTATCGAAAACAAATCCGCTCTTGCATGCTAGATCACCAGCCATTTTGTTTGATATTTTTGCAAGTATTGACACACAAGTGTTGCCAGTTTCAAATTAATAATATCAAAATTTTTTGTTTACTAACATAAACGAATTAGTTTTATTAATTTTATGTTTTATAACATATTGTTTAATAAATGACAATTCATGTTTATTCTTTTATAAAAATGTCCGGGCCTATTTGATTATCCATAGACAATAACAGTAGTCATATGGAAGTCCTTTTGAATCTCTACCTGTTTTCTGCGTATATTCGAAAATACATATCCAGAGCTACGTATGGAGATTTTGGATCACCCCGTACAAGTGACATCATAGCCGAAGGCGGGTTTTTCGATTTTATCGTTGTTCATAACACTTATGACACTACTGTTAATTGTGTCTATGACAATGCAGACATACACCATAACAATTATGATCATTCTAATTCGAAAAATTACATTTTATAGAATAAATGACGACTAATCACCGCAATGAATTATAATCTATAATAGAAACAACAAAACAACTTAATTGCAATATTAAATACTGTAAACAGACATAATTTTAAAATCTTAACGCCCATTGACGAGATAACTCGTCAAGGTTACATAGCGTTACGTCAAATTCGGTAGTTAAGAACAAATCGTTTTCATTGAAATCAAAACAAAAAAATAAATAAATAAGTTAACCTTTTACGTCCAGTAACTCTAACCGTCGTCCTACAAACTCCTTTGTTAAAAAACGAAATTCTTTTCTCAAGTCAATTTTAAGCGAGAAATTTCGAATTTTAATTTTTAGACTAAATTACTAAGAGAAATAGCAAAATTTGGTTCTAATCATTTTTTTAAAAACTTGGATTAAGGAGCGTTTTCAATCACCAGTCTATCCCTGGCACAGCGTTTAAATAATAAAGATAAATGAAAGTAATAAAATAATATGTTTCTAAAAAAAGCTTTTAAAAACATTTTGAATAGTTTTATTTCAGTAAAAATACTGTAGTATATTACTAATATACTATAGTATTTTTACACAAGTCCTTCAAGTCCGCGTGGCCTAATAGATAAGGCGTATAATTTCGAATCAGAAGATTGCAGGTTCGAATCCTGTCGCAGACGGATGATGACTTTATTCTATACAACGGTCGAGTATTTTGCTGCCTTCCTTTTCCAATCCATTGCTGTATTTTGTTTTCGTAACCGATGTATTTTGTTACACTTTAATAAGTTACAATTTACTGTCATATGTTATGAATTTTATTTAGTTTAATATTACAATACAGTTAATGTATAAAATAAATCAATTGAGTAAAATTAAAAATAATATGTAGATAAATTCGCCTGACAGTCAAATGGCGCCGGAATTTTAATTAACAGAAGGATACCATTTGCCTCTCTCGTTTCATATATGTTACGTACACGTAAAATGACGTGAACTCCGTTCATGTACTGTACGTGAATGACCAAAGTCTTTAATTTACATCTTTGACCAAACATTCACCTCTTTCATTCAACACCAGATACCACAAGTTCTTTTTAAGTATTTTTTATGTTTAATTAAAAATTCCTAAACGAAAATTAGGGAACAAGTGGTTAAAATAATATTTATAAGATGTTCTTTAAAAAAGATAAAAGAAATATCTGAGTTAAAAACGAGAAAATTTCATATATTAAAAGAATTTGGAATGTTCACAGCTGACTCTCCCTATCCTTCACCCAAACACGTTGCCATATGTTTTTTGCCCTTGTAGCCAAATAATTTTTAAAAAGTAGTCCAAAAGTAGCCAACTGCTCGAGCAGTTGGCTACTTTTGTACTAATCTAGTACCTTTTTACTTGTCCCAGTACCAAGATAACCAACACTATTTTCCTAGTACCATTCATGAAATCCTAATACCTTTCCTTTCAAAACATTCATTTTTATTCTATATTTCTGTATTTTTTTACTTTACTTTGACAGTAAATAGATGTTTTTATTGCTTCCTCATTCAAATGCAGCAGTTGAACGTATTTTTTTGCAATTAAATTTAATGAAAACTAAACTACAAAATCGAGTTCTTACAGCGATAAATGTTAAACTTGGAAATCATCATCTGCTTCAACCATACAAAAAC